CACGTCTGCAAAAGCCCAGCTGGCCAGCTTTGAAACTGCAGCGCTTGCTTCACTCTCTTGCCCTTCATATCAAAACTACCTTCTGGGGGATTTGATTTCCCCTCCCCAGTGGTGCAGTGCTAAGGCGGCTGGACCCACGTGGGAAAGTGCTGGGTTCTCACCCCAGGCCTCTTGGAGAACACTGGGTGCTATTCATGTGAACCTGTCATTGGGCTGGCTGAGACCGGGTGGTGCAGCTTGAGGACTCTGTTGGTGGTGCTGGCCTGTTTCTTTCTCCCATAAACTTAAAAAAAAAAAAAAGAAAAAAGTGTACGTTTGGGGACAGCAGGTGGTGTGGTGGTCAGGGTGTCATATTCCCATATGGCTAACCGTGGTTTGAGTCCTAGACCCGGTGGCTCGGAAATCATGTCAGGTGCGTGTGCATGCGTGCCCAAGATCCCTGGAGGAGAGTGGAGAAGAGATTACAGCATCCCTGTCCTGGGAGGGGATTTCTCACTTTTCCTCTTACTGCGTCTGTCTCTCTCAGGAGAGCATGCCTACCCTACGGCAACACAAATGAAAAACAAACCGAACAAACAAAAACGCATCCTGTGATCCTATCTTGGCAGCTCCTGTCACTCTCCTGTTCCTCAGCTCCAGACCTCTGGCGGGGTGAGGTGCGACACTGTGGAGACCGAGACTCTGGAGGTGGAACCACCCGGATCCCAGCTGTGGCCCACCCATTGGTAACAGGGACTTTTACGAAAACATCAGTTCACCCTTCTGAGGTGTGCAACCCAGTGGGGTTTTATTTTGATATTTTTGTTTGTTTTGTTTTTAGTTTTTGCTATAGTGGGTGTATGTTCACCAGAGACAGGCAGGCTTAAGAGGGGAAGTGAGAAAGCATGCCCAGTGGGGGATGCCAATCCCATCTCCTTCGTTCTCCTCTTGGGATTTTGGGTATGCACACACATGCACCTAGTGTTTTTCAAGCTGTTGGGTCCAGGACTCAAAGCGCATAGCAGGCCCTGTGGGATCCAGCGCCTTAACCTCCACCTTACCTGCTGGCCCGATCCAGTGGTTTCCAGCACCATCTGACATTCCTAATCACAGTATGTGAGAGTTCTAATTACTCCACAGACTTATCAGTACTTGTCGTCATTGGCTTCTGATTCCAGCCTTCTTGGTGAACGAGTCTCACTGTAGTTTAGTTTTTTTATATATTTTATTTCAATTTCTTTCATACATTCTATCACATATGTCACTTAGCTTGCAAAGTGACTATTCCAACATGTGTACATTTCTCACCAGTCCAGTTGGGAATACTGTATACATCATCCTCAACAGACAATAACCTATCCCTCTGTCCCACAAATGCCCCGCCCCTCCATTTCTCTTCCCAATGTCTCTCCTCAGTCTCTCCTCCTTCACCCACCCTCTTCCCACACTGTATTCAGTATTTATAATCATTTTCCATGTTTCTATATCCTTCAGTCATTCAGTTTCAGCTACAGAGTGCAGACATTTGGTATATATTAAGTGGAGACATACAGTGTCTCTCGCCTGACTTGCTTCACTCAGCAGTCAATCTTTCATATTCATTCACTTTCTGTCAAAAACCAGGTTCTTGGGACCAGCAGTTAGTGTAATGGCTATGTTGCTGGACTCCCACGTAGTCGACTGCGGTTCGAGTCCTGGACCTGGTGGCTTAAAACTCACACTGGGCACGTGTGTGTGCATGCCCAAGATCCCGAGAGGAGAACAGAAGACAAGAGATTGCGGCGTGACCATCCTCCCTGGGGGATGATTTCTTACTTTCTGTCTCTCTGTCTCTCTCTGTCTGGCAAGGGCACGTGCCCTATAGCAAAAACCTCTCCAAAACAAAAACACAAACAACCCAGGGTCTTGTTTTTTATGGCTGAGTAGTATTCCATAGAGTATATGTGGTTTTAATTTGCATTTCCTGGTGACTGAAAATGTTGGATATCTTTCCATCTATTTATTGGCCATGAAATTGGCCAGCCCCCTGCAGCTGGGGGAACTCTCCCTTTCTGCCTCAGCTTCAAGTCTTCTGTCCTCGCCTCCTGAAGACAGGTTGGCTGCTTTGAGGCCGGTAATGCTTTGTAAGGAAACGGGCAGGCGGCAGGTAAGGCATTCTCACAGTTTTTTCATAAAACCAATTTGCCACTGAGCTGTTATTCGGATGGTGTGATCTGGGAGTGAGCCTGCTGGCTTCTCAGCTGATGGTCGATGGGTTGAACAGTGTCCCCCTAGAAGAGGTTCAAGTCTTGACTCCCGGTACCTGGGAAGGTGGCCTTTGGAAGCAGGAGTGAAGAGGATGAGGTCACACCAGCTAGGGGGGCTCTGATCTTACAACTGGTGCCCTTAAAAGAAGGGGAAAACGGGGACACAGACACATACTCCATAGGGACAGCCGTGGGGCAGCGGTCAGAGGCAGGACCGATGCTGCCACGAGCCCAAGAATGCCAGGCCACTGCCAGACGCCGAAGAGGCACGACAGGATCCTGCCCTGGATCTTTCCGAGGAAGCCTGGCCATTGCCAACACCGTGGTTTCAAACTTGTAGCCTCTAGGACTGCGGGAACGCATCTCTGTGGTTTAAAGCTGTCCAGTTTGGGGTATGTTGTCACAGCAATGGCAGGAAGGGCATCCAGGTGACGACAATGCCTGCTGCCATTTGTGTACTGAGAATGGACTGCCCAGGGAGGCAATGGAAGACTCGGGACATAGAACATGTGACACAGAGAGCAGCTTTCAGAGGTGACACTGACGGCTCAGGCAAGGCCAGGCATCGGCAGATGCAGACTCTGGCCATAACGCCCGCACCCAAGTTGGCCCTGAGGGTGGCACTTGGCCTGCCCTGACAAACGCGGCCCCGCCAGCCCAAATCCCAGGGTTCGATTCCTGAGCTCCGGCTGAATGTGGTTATTTTCTCATCTCTCTCACAGGGCCACAGGAGACTTAGGAAAGACGACTGTCTTGCACGTGGAAAGCTGCTCCTGCCACCCTGGGCTTACTGCTGGTGAGTCGCTCAGTCTGTTCCCAGGGGCCCTACCTAGCACAGGGCCAGCTGCTGGGCCCAAGGAATACATTTTAATCAACTGTATCACGCTCT